TGTGCACAACTGCACAAAAAAAGGATGACTGTGCCGAACAGACTGTTTCGTCGGACTTTCTCCGACTCATCAGGAGGTTGAACCTGGACTGACAGTCTGCCCAGGATGCATTTGACTGATGGATAAGGACTCACCACGTCGCCCAGAGTTGGCGATACCCCTGAGAGAGAAAGGTGGTCGACTTTACTCGTACCAATGTGTGTGTGTGTGTGTGTTTGAATGTGTGTGTGTGTGTGTGACAGGCGAACGCATGAATGTCTGGTCTGGGTGTGAGTGGCTTTGCTGTGTGTTGTGTGGACAGTTTGTTGTTTGCAATCTGACGCTACGATTTGTGTTCCGGTGAGGTCGATGATGGAATGAAGGGCTCCGTCGTAGTCTAGTTTGGTTAGGTAGGATACATGGCTCTCACACAGGCGACCCGGGTTCGTGTCTCCCGGCGACGGATTGAATGTTGTGCTAAATGGGTGTTGGAAATTGTATTTCTTCGAAACGTAAATTAAAGTAAAACGGTTGTGGGAAAAAAAATTACAGGTTCAAATTCGGGACATCCGTTATAATTGGAACGATACAGAGAAAGAGAAGATTATTAGCATGGATGGCCCCTGCGCAAGGATGACACGCATAAATCGAGAAATGGTCCAAATTAAAAAATAAATAAAATAATAAAATAAAATAAAATTGAATCGTGGTTTCGGTCGTCTTTGCCTCTCAAGTTTCTCAAGCGTTACTGTGCTGCCCTCTAGCGCTCTCATATTCATGTGACGATATATATACTTACTATACTTACTATCGTTGTTTCAACGACGATTGGTTTGTCGTTAGTGATGCTATAAACGCTCAGTTTTCCACTTTTCTGTTTTTTTTTGTTCATTGCGAGACGGGCACACATGACATTCTGCAAACGAGGATTGCCTTCCTCGTTTGTTGTTATGTGACACTGTCGTTGTTGTTGAACGGCAATTGGTTTCTTCAACCTTCTTGTCGTTAGTAATGCTAATTCTGTTTTTTTTTTTTTTTTCACTTTTTAAACTCTTTTTTTTTGGTTGTTGCTCGTTGCAGGAGCACAAGTACTTCGAAGATGCTTTTCGGGTGTACGAGAGAGGAGTTAACATATTCAAGTATCCCCACGTGAAGGATATCTGGATGACTTACTTGACTAAGTTCGTAGGGAGATATGGAGGCAAGAAATTGGAAAGGGCGCGAGATCTGTTCGAGCAAGCTATAGAG